TCTCACAAGAGAGTGTCCCATAAGAGTGCCCGACAAGAGTGTCCTACAAGAGTGTCCCACGAGAGTGTCCTACAAGAGTGTCCCACAAGAGTGTCCTACAAGAGTGCCTTTCAGGAGTGTCCTACAAGAGTGTCCTGTAAGAGTGTTCCACAAGAGTGTCCTACAAGAGTGACCCACAAGAGTATCCTACAAGAGTGTCCCAGAAGAGTGTCCCACAAGAGTGTCCTACAAGAGTGTCATTTGGACATATGTAGCTTTTCGAACGTGTTTGCATTCGGGTTCGTGGGCTCCATCTTGTTTTCATTACGGATACTTGATGATGCTCGGATCTGACCTGAGGAGGCACAAGCTGATTGCGTTGAGCTGCAAAAGCGCACGGGTGGCTGGCAAAGGTGTTCTCGGCGCGTCGGGTGCCCAGCAGCTGTCCGAATGGGTTCCTGTTTGGACAGAGTGAAGCTCGCGCAGCCGAGCGCAGCTCCTTTTTGATTTGGCGATGAAATGCAACATGAAAACTCAAGAAAAACATACGAGGAGAAAACGCAACAGGACATTCGCTTTGTGGGCTACCTACAACAGACTTCCCAGAACCATATTAAAGGCTTACGCCTAACAGCCGGGCGCCGGCCCACTTGAGTCTGCGGGGCGCATGTCACGCCGATGTTGGCCTCGATGGGGCGTATATTGAGCGAAGTTAAGCCATCTGGCGCGCATCTTGGCCCTAGGTTGGGCCAAGTTGGGCCCATGTGGTGTATGTTGGGCACATCTTGGGCCCAGGTTGAGCCTATGTTGGGCCTATGTTGGCCTATGTTAGGCCTATGTTGGCCTATGTTGGGCCTACGTTGGGCCTATGTTGGCCCCAGGTTGGCCCCGTGTTGGCTTATGTTGGCCCTATGTTGAGCCATCTTGGAGGCTAGACTCTCCTGACGCAGGCGAGGTCGGCGACGCCTTCGTGGTCGGGATGGAACGACACGAGGGAAGGAGGTCATGTGTAGATATTCGATACAGGGCACACTGTTCAATGAAAGAAAAAAGATGTGGAGATCATGTTTTTGTGGTTCTCCGAAGGTGAACTACGCTGTTTGGCTGATTTGCATAGTGTAGAATATTGGCTCGTCCAGCGGGAACGGTCAGAAATTGGAAGCCGTGTTTTTCACGAGGTTGTGAAGGACATCACCATGCCCACTTGGACAGCTAGCTCCCTCTGTTTATATTTTGTTCGCGTTGGCAAAAGAAGCACAGGAGATCATTTTTTTTTGGACATGTTCAGGATTAGCAGTTGGACCTTTGCACATACACTTACATTAAGTGCTTGGCCCAATTCAAGCCATGACAAAAGGAAGAAAATCAAGCAAAGCAGAGGCTGAGGAGCGGAGATCGCACAACGTCAGTTTGCGGTGGAGACAGGCTGCAAAGTTCGAAGATATGTTCTGGAAACTGATGGTGCTGCGACAAATCGAGACGATCAGCAAGCGCATCAAACAGCCAATCTCCGTCGCTTGGAGTGGTACTCTATGGTTGGGGCTAACCCTCGAGTCCTGGATTGCGAATTATGATTGGGAAGAGCCAGTGGTGCAGAATAGTGAGTGGCATCATCGCCGCACGGGTATCATTTCAGATCTCTTTTCAGATGACTTTGCCAAATTTTGCGTGTGCTTGGTGACGTTCTACTTCGGCTCGGACGAGTGGTTGGCAGCTCTGCGAAGCCACAAGACAAAGTTGCGAGATGTCAATGACCCCAGCTGCGACTCCAAAAACCTTGCTTGGTTCTATGAGGCTGCTATCCGAGGGTACAAAGGCAACCCTTTCCACAAAAGGTACAATCCACAACGGATACGTGCTGATGAGTGGGAACGTGTCGCTAGGCACGCAGGTGCAGATTTAGCAACGTTCGAGACTCTCGAGATGGTGTGGGATGACTTTTCGGAAGAAGAGGCTATGTAAGTACCAGAAGCTCAAGCAGTGGACTGGCAGCTGACACACATGCTGATTGTTCAGCGTGCAGTGCAATGGCTTCCGACCTTGGCTGGCGCAAAGAAAGTCTTTGCAGAACTGTGCGGTGCCAAAGACGAGGAAGAAAAGTGGGCGGCGATTCAAAAGCTGCCAGGGCTGGGAGGCACTGGGTATGCAGCCAAGAATTTGTCGCTGTTGCTACGAGATACAGTGCAGGCGACGCGAGATTTAGGCCTGCGATACAGTGCAGGTGGAAGTGGCCCGCGGCAATGCTACAATCTGCAGGCAGGTTTGCCACGCAAGAGTGTGATGTCTGCTGCCACTTTACAAACCTGGGTCAGCCGTGATCTACTGGCTGCTGGAAACTATTGGAGCGGGAACTACTTTGGCGCGGCGTGGCAACAGATGACCAAGGAGGAGCAGAAGATACCCCATGCAGTTGCCATCACGTCCTTTTGTTGTGCTCTTGACAAAAATATGTGGAAAGTGTTCCTTGCGGTAGATCCGCCGGCCGGCTTCACCAGCTGGCGCTTGCATCAACGTGCTGTCCGGAATGGGCGGGGCAATGACAAAGTCACACCGAGAGGCAAATGCGCGCCGAAAAGTTCTGTGACCTGTGGTGTCTTGTGAAAGAAGTACTTGCATGGGGCGTGCAACTTCTATGGCCTAGTGAACTTTTGACATTGTTGCGCAGCGCGTTTATCCTGTCTTTGGTGAATGGTCTTGCGGTATTTTCTTGTGTTCGTGTTGTGGATTCTAGAGGTCAAATGATGGGTGTAACCCCCCCCCTTTGGGGTGTTTTGGTTGGTCGTGGAGGCCTAACCCCCCCTTTTCAACACCTTGATAGAAGCCTTTTAGGGCTTGAACCCCTTGAGCGTTTTAGGCTCTCTAAACTCACGGGCTAAGAAGTTAAGGTCTGTCGGTCTTGGCATTCGCCAATGTGGTTGTGGTGGTTTCCTACAGAGCCAGTTGACTCAACCAATCGCTGCTTGCCGGAGGCCTCTGACGTCCGCTTGCAGGAGCGGCCAGATCGATGGTTTCAGCATTTTTTGGTTCGAAATGTATTTGTTCACAACAAGTAGTGATTCTTCAAGCTAAAGACCACATCAGCAAATGAAGCTCCATCCCCCATCTCAAAACAGGTACTACATTGATTTCTAGTGCTCATTGCTGGCGCTCCGAGTTGTTAGTTGCTTGTTCAGTTTGTTCAGCGTCATGTAAATCCCGAAACTTTTTCCTGACTAGGCCAGACTGGGCCCATATACAGTCTACTGGGAATCCGTCACCCAAGTCCGAATCATCGACCTGAAGCGGCAAAGAGCCAAAAACACCTCGAACCGTTCTTTAGACAAAGAAGAAAACCGGGTCGTGGTTGATCATGACTGCCAGGACGGGTCACTGGTGAAAGGAGTCCAACCACGGAGGACGACTCGAGGTGCCTTCGCGAGTCGTCGACGGCTGCTGCTGCCCCTGCTGCCTGTTGCCTGCTTCCTTGCTTGCTTGCCTGCTCGCCTGCCTGGCAGCCTGTGTGGTTGCCTGCTTGCCTGCTTCCTTCCTTGCCTGCTGGCCTGCTGGCCTGCCTGCCTGCCTGGCAGCCTGCCTGCTTGCCTGCTAGGTTGCACCTCTCAGAAGTCACGCTGTTTGGTGGCTTGGCCGGATCTGGAGGTTGCAGGGTTGGGTCGAAGCTGTGATGGGTATGTAGCGTGGGCAACCGGCCTTTACTAAATGTGGTTTGTGGAATGAGGCGCAAGAGCCGACGCAGCAGCCATCCGCAGTTGCGTCACCTCCCGGGCAGATGAGGAGCTTGAAGCAGAGGGCATGCCTTCGCGCCTTCGGCGAGTAGGAGGATGAAACGCTAGCATCGAGCGGTCGGGAGCAGCAGCTGAACTGCATGAGACCCGAAGGGTGTTAAGCAAGAAGGAGGCGAGGAGGGCGAGGAGGTCGAAGTTTCTCCAGGGGTAGTTGAGTCAGGGACTGTCATACAAGAACTCTGCAAACGTCCTGCGCCTGCAGCTTGCTCTTACTTGAATAGGGTCTTTGCTTGTTTGCTGGTCCTACCTCCTGGTCGTCTTATCACAAGGGTCCCACGTGGCACACTCCCTTTTATGCCTGTTAGAGAGCAGGCCATGTAAACCATCCTTCTGAGAGTGCCATCTACCCTCAATCCACTATATAGATTTTCCAGACCCTGGGAGTCCAAGACTATTTTTAAACGGTCTGTTGGTGATCCGAACAGGAACTTCCTTTACTTGGGTGGAGCGTAAAATAGTCGTTGGAAGGGTACATAGCTAATCCAACCAAAATGCCTATGATATACGGAATGATCATCATCACCATCACCACCATCATCATCATCATCATCATGAGTGACAAATTCCCTTCCTTTTCACCGTTCCCACACGTCAATTCAGCTTCTCTTCAGGGCTTCCAGCTCATGTTCACCACTGGCCGTGCGTACCTCGAAGCGATCCATGGATTTGGACGGGTGGGGCTTTCCCAGGTGGGCAAGACATGTTGTTTCTTTCTCTGCTTGAGGGTATGTTCAAGTTCTGTATCTCAATCACCTATACCGAATGGTGTGGAGCGTGACAGATAGATGCCTCTATATAAAGAATTCTGTTCGATGAAGCGCTCGTTGCTAGCGGATGGATCCCGTTTTGAGGTTTTGGTTTCAAGTACCAGTTAGCATTACATTATATTACATTATAGACATTTCACCCAACATTCTTCTCCAAGAGATTTTCTTGGAAGGTGCATTCATGCCACCGTGGAGCAGTGGTACTCCCCATAAAAGCTTCTTCAACCTTTGTTGGTATAATCCCTGTTTCAGCACACGGATTCCTGTGGTGAGACCTACGACCGGCAGCCAGTCGGACCGTCTGGCAGCCGAAACCTTCACAGGTGGAGAAAGCTCGTCTAGAGAGTCAACACTTGGAGAGGATCATAGGCGGCGCTTTTGCGTCGCCGTCCTCCTCACCGGTCATGATAATCGCTGCTGCGTCAGGAAAACGAGGCGGAGCGGAGCAACGAGACGCTGAGCGGTGCCTCGGTGCGAAGCGCGCTCAGGGCTCCGGGTTCGTCGAAGGGGGGAGGTCCGGAAGGCAGCGAAAAAGACGAAATGGATGGCAACAAACTAGGATATGACCCAATATAGGCTGATCTCCTTCGTGTGTCGACACTGGAGCGGGGATAGAGCCACGTACTTCTCGACACTGAATTTGGACTACTTTAATATCGCAACCATACTTGTTTCATCTTGTTTCGTTGTGTCTCCTTACCCTGCCAGGCAGGAACGACAGGCAGTGACACGAGGTGGTCAGCTGTTCTCAAAGCATCGACAACCCCTACAGATAGCACCTCATCCATCCAGGGGTCTTGTCCAGGACTCAGATCTGGTTCTAGATGACTCTAAAAACTCCCTTTGTCACAGTTCAAGCCTGACAGCCTTTGAAGCA